TTTGTCACACACTTCATTCTTATAATCATGTTGTATAAAAACAATGTTTTCTGAGTAAGTCATGGTTTATTTACTTCATTTAACATGACTCCACAAATCAGAATTTGGTAACTTGTGGAATCACTCATCCGTCGCACCTCTCTGATTCACAGTTTTGAAATCCACACTCACTAATATGTCAACAGCCTAAAATAAGCTAAGATTTGATTTGCTATCAGGCTATGAAATTGATACCTATTTGTAATCAATTTAATATTCCAAGTCATCACCTGATTGCTTTATGGGTATCATGGAACAAGTGCAGTCCTCCCGTCTTTGCGAAATATCACTGACAGCAATAGTTAAACTAAATGACTGCAAATTATATGAGGCTACTGTAGTGCAAAGTGCTGCTTTGTAAGAAATCTGCTTCCAGAACCTACCTATCCTATCTTATCTATCCTAGTACAACCTAGACAGGCAATAAAAGCTCCTTGGAGATTTCATTTTTCCTATGACAAAACATTGGGTTTAAAGTTCAAAGTGTACACATTTTCCAACTGATACGGAAAGATCTAAATATGAAACATTTTCATTGAAAGAGTGACCACATAAGCTCTTGAAAGCAAGATCTTTACATTTTAACTGCACTGTTTTTAGATCACTGATGACAAAAAAAAAAAAAAATCTATTTTTTTTGTTTTACATCTTTGCCTTTCAGGTTCATTCAGTGGTTTGTTACTCCACTGTCATTTTGGCCCATTAAGAATTCATCCACCAGGTTTAAGGATGTTTTCGGACTACAGTGTTTTTCTACAGTAAGACTCATTTCTTTTCATTGATACTTTTCTATGGTAATTACTTTCCTGTGCTGTGTGTACTATGTATTATTGGCTGAAAAAAAATCCTTTTTTTCAGTTTCTTTTATTCTATTAAAACAGCAAACTAATAAACTGGTAACATCTTCCACCACCAGGGAAGGCTGAGAGTTTTCAAATTGTGCCAGAGTTGTTAGATAACCTGTTCTCTGCTTTCTCCACATCTTTGTCTTTCTCCAAGGATCTTCCTGGGCATCCTGGGTTTTGGTCTCGCCATGATGTTCTGCACCACTTTATGCAGAGTATGCCATCGCCAAAGGGATGACCATATATCACCGGGGCCTATAAGACATAGTGACCGGGGCAGGGTCCCGCAGTCCATATATTTCATTCCCTTCCCCAGGAGCATATCACAGCAGGACAGCGAAGATCAAGGTGGTGATGCCATGAGACCACCACGATACAGCACAACAGTCTACTCAGGACCCCCACCTGCCTATAATGAGGTGATTATAATTTTCTCTGCATCTCTTTCTCTTGCGCTAACAAAATAATGCACCCATATATCAGTACATTTCGGCTATTGCTAAATTATAGCTCTTTTTTTCTCTATCTTCAGCTGGAATTTAAGCCTGATGATCTCCCACCTGCTTACAATGAACAAAGCATTTCTATGTATCCCATAACACCCCCTCCGCCTCGCCCAGACATGGTTCAACCACAGGCACAGTAACAACCATATGGAAAAATCATTATTGTGTCGAGGTTACGGACACTCCCGATATTGCACTGCCTCGTGGACATAAGTAACGAGAAGTTCTAATCTTTTAAGGGTTGGTTTTATTGTTAGACTCGTTTTCTTTATTGTTTTAAGGGAGTTGATGACGGCACGAAGAGAATCAAAGTTGTGGAAATGGAAAAGTTTTAAAGTTACAACATTGTAAACGTGTTTCTGTTTCAACTTGTTCTCTCTGTGTTTATTAGCAGGATATCAAAGAAGTGTATCAGGTATCAGGTATTTATTACATTTAACACAGAGCTAAACTGAAATACACGTTGTTTTGGTTTGCGCTCAACATCTTGAGGACAAGATGCATTTTTTTCACCACTTTTACAGACTTCATTTCAACAGACAGTAAAGGGATCATGGCATTAACCTGAAATGGTTGCATTTTGCTTGTTCACACTCTGTTTATTTACTAAAAGGGTTTAGATATTCACTATTCGTTCTTTCATCAAAATATTAGCTTTGGGTGACTGTTTTGGAAAGCGCAGCATGTATTCTCTGGTTGCTTTTTAAGTGATGTTCTAAACAAGCACATACAGTGAAGTACATGATATTGAATGAAGTGTGCCTGACAAGCATGTATTTTCATATATGTATGCCGATTAACTTATGCGACTGTAATAGCACGGTTGCAGTGATGTTGTATTCATATTGTGCTAGAAGAGGTCTTTTTCACAGCAGACATTTTAACTCGTGACAGGGACTGCATAGGTGTAACTGATTGTTCAGCCGTTGGTTATGGCCGAACAATCAGTTAGTGCTATTTATTACAGCTGTTCACGTACCATTCAATTACTGTTATGATTTCTGAAAACTTGCTTTAAGACTTTAATGAAACAGTCACTTTACTGAAATGAAATTTGTAAATAGACAAAATTCACAAATTAATTGTTCAAATTGTTCTCAGGAAAAAATAAATGTAAATGATATTTATAGTAGCTGGTCTACTTAAAGGTCTCTGAACAGACTGAACACTCCAACAAAGTCTGTAATATGAACCTGGAAACAGAGGTTAGAAAAAGATTTCAATGTTTAGGAAATTTTTATGTAAATATATGTTCATAATAATGATTGTATCGCATGTACATATTGTGGATACGTTTAAATAAAGAAAAACACTAAATCAAGCTTGTCATAAATTTTAACAAAGTTGGAATAAAGTTGAAATGTTTTACAAAGATTCACTTCGGTGCAACTTAAAACATTGAAGAATTTCCAGTTTCTTTGGCTTAAGAAACTCTTTAGGTGCTTTTGCAGCAGGTTTTTAGTCATTGTCCTCTGAAGTGCCATTAAGGGTTATCCAATTAGTTTGGCAACATTTGGCTGAATCTGAGCAGTCATACAATAAGATAAAGATGCTACAATAACAAAGAGAAATCCCAACAATCAGTTGACCTCCTATGAGCAAGCACTTGGCACAGTGGGAAGGAAAACCTTTTAACAGGAGAAAACCTCTGACAAGCTCAGGGAGCGGCTGTCAGGGGTCACGTGTGGATGCGAGGAAGAGATGACCCAAACGCAGGACTCACGGTGCGGGATCAAGGGTGTTTAGTGTAGTGAGTGGATGAACAGAACAGTAACGAACGCTGACTGGCTGGATGACTGAATGGCTGGCTGAACTGAAAACACACATGGGAACGACGGCAGCGACAACATCAATGACAAGACAATGAGCGAGTGGAAACTGAGGACTTAAATACACAGACTGACGAGGATAATAATGAGAGACCGGTGAGTATACAGCTGAACTTAATCAAACTAACGACACACGGGAAAGGAACTGGCACAGCAAGACAGAGAAATAAACTCAACATAAAGGAACTGAAAACACTGGGTCAACGACCCAAGAACCCTGACAGCGGCAGCCGCCTGCATGACCAGATGGGAGTAAGAGGAAGAAGACGGGGCAAAAGACACACCTTGTAAACTCACTGCATTTCTATTCATGAAGTCATCTCTTGAGAGTCTCACTGACCTCCTGGAGAACGTTTCTTGATTTTGCTAGATGTTGTGAATGTTTTTTTTTTTTCTAACCAAAGAAAGAATGATTCTTTATCCCACTCCTACAGTTTTTGTTAGCTCTCTGACAGGTTTATTTATTTATTTATTTTCAGCCTAATGATGGCTTCCTGTCACTTGCACTGACATGTCTTTGGATCTCAGCTGCAGTCAACAACTACCACATGCACGTTTAACACATTTCCAGGTTCTTTCATCTGCTTCATTTGTCACAGAATACCAGGAATGCCTCTGAAAATGGGGTCCTATGTGTAAAAATGGTTGCAATTCCTAAACAGCTATTTTTGAATTACCCTTGAATTACAGTTGAAAGTCTTCACATCTTGATTGTTTGATCTAAAATCCATTTGTGTGGTGTACAGAGACAATGTGCCATTGTCCATATACTTATGTATCTAACTTTGCCTGACAATTGTAGTTTTGTTCACTTTTGTCAATGTATCCTTTAATATGTTACACTTATGCTTATTTTATATATAAAACTACATATCAACTACAGTCATGGTGTCATTATGTCAGCTTTTAAAACTTCAGAGCAACAACCCACTAACCTGCTGCACAAACTATTCTCTGTCAGCTTCCTGATAGCAAAATGACTAATCACAGGAGAAGCCAAAGTCCTTCTTTTATGACAGTATAATATCACATAGGGAGTGTCTCGTCAAACGATCCAATCTAACAGTGACCAAACTTAACACCAGGGGGCACTCCAAGCGTGTAGACACTCATGCTTTTTTGTCGTCATCTTGTAGTTTCCAAGTCTTTCTTTACTTTGCTAAACGCACATTTATCTGTTTTGTTATAATTATATAATTTTGTTAAAAACATGGTCACAGATCTGTTAAAGGTTTATATTACTCTGAGGCTAATCTGGTTATTTTTACTTCCTGCACAACCACATTACATTTTGTGAATAAGTATCATACTACAAGTATTAAATAAGCCTCTTACTATTAAAGACTTTGAAGGAAGCAGTCTAGGATTAACACCTGGAATGTGTATTGTCAAGCTCTTACAAGGTCCCCAAAAGGCAAAACTGCTGTTGACCCTTGTGTGGACACATCTACTTGAGTCCTGCATGGGTGAGAGTGGATTTGCCCTGCTCACACAGCCCCACAGTTCACCCATGGTTAGGTCTGCTAAGGCATATTTGCTGGGATAATGCTAGACTATATGGACTGTTAAAATAAAACCCTGTATGTTCACTTACTGACACATCTCTTTAAAGGAGTGATATAAATGATTGCACAAGGAGAAATAAACTAAAGGAGGAGATTTTGACATTTCTTTCAGCCTTGATAGGAGTCAGAACAATAACCTCCACAAATGGAAAAAGTTCTGCTTCTCTTCCTGCTGTTACACCGTGTACTTAATCCCACCTTTTCTCTTTTTCTCAGTCTCTGTTATTGCCTTTAATACTTTATACTCACAATGCCATGTTTTACTATTTTCTTCATTCAAAAAGCAATAATGTGTAGATCCAATCATTGTTTAAATACATAAGAGCAAA